CCTCCTCCTCCTCCTCCCACTTATTCTTCTTTGGGCATCATACGGGAGGTGTGAGCGAGAGCCTCCATCTTCCCTCGGTCTCCAGGGGATCCGGAAGGATGGAGGCTTCTCCGCTGCGGAAGCTCCTTCGCCTGCCTCGGCGTCGGCTTCTCCTCCCGGGGGGCCACCAGCGGGTCCAGGAGCTCCTTGAACTTCAGGGTGTTCCTGTGGGAGGAAGAGAGAAAGAAACAGGGCAGCCAGGACGTCCAGGGGTTTTTTGAGGACACCAGAATACACCCGGCTCAAAATGTTGGGCCTGGACAATCTAGAACTCTGCCATTTGCGGTCCAATCTAAGCAAAGTTCCCCAAATTGTCTGCTATAACATCTTGCCTGTCCATGACTATTTCAGGCAAACAACTGATACAAACTCAAGTGATATAAACTGCTCCAAACTTGACTGCAGAAAATATGACTTCAGCCACAGAGTGGTCAACACCTGGAATGCTCCATCCGACTCCGTGGTTACAGCCTCAAACCCCTCACAGCTGCAATGGCCTCAACCTGTCTAACCGTGGACCTCACCCCCATTCCTAAGAGGTCCTTCAAGGGGGCGTGCATAATCGCATCCGCGTGTCTACGGTCCCCGTCCTACTGTCCCCGTTTATCTGTATTTACTCCCTTTGTTCATGTTTATGTTCCATACACCAGCTATCGAGAAAATTCCACCTCACCTTCCCTACTTTTTATTTTGACAGTGGTAACCTCAGTAGTCATCGTTAGTTTAATTTAGTTAGCTTTATTGTCCTTGCACCTTGTACAATGACATTAAATGCCATCTTCAGTGTACAATTTATGACCGTGACAATAAACACAAACGCACATCCTTCACGTTCTATATACATCAGTGTTTCCCAACCACTAGCAACTTTAAGACTTGTGGACTTCAACTCCCAGAATTCCTCAGGCAGCCATTCTGGCTGTGGAATTCTGGGAGTTGAAGTCCACAAGTCTTAAAAGTTGCTAAGGTTGGGATACACTGCTGTACATTGAAGGGACAACCCCTGATATGGTATTAATATTACACTATCCAGTAGGGGTGGGCAGCTAGGGGTTCGGGAGAGCCCCCCCTAGTGAAGATTCTGTGCAGTTCACGGAACCCCCAAATCCCACTCCTGGCAGGCCCCACCCACCCCTCCCCTCCCAGCAGTCCCCACGCCGTCCGTTTTGGATGCAGGTAAGTGCAGGGTGAGCGTGGAGGCTCAGGGAGGGTAAAAATGGGCCTCCTGGAAGTTTAGGAAGGCTGGAAACGGGCCTTCCTAATGCCCCCCTTCATTCACCATGGCAACCAGGTAGAGAACCCCTTGCTAAAATTTTTGAAGTCCACCCCTGGTTACTGCCCTGGGATGGAAGCTGTTTTTCAGTCTATTTGTCCTTGTTTTTATTATTGTCCTGTACCTTTCTGGTCAACTTATGGACAATTTAGTTTACTTATTGTATTGTCATTGCACCTCGTACAACGAAATTAGATACCATCTTCAGTGTACATTATGACTGTGAAAATAAACACAAACACGCATCCTTCGCATTCTATACATTGAATTGAAAAACCTTGATATCGCCTTAATATTGCACCATACAGTAGAATTCAACAGAGCTCCTACCCTGGGATAGAAGCTGATTTCCAGTCTATTTGTGCTTGTTTTTATTATTATCCTGTACCGTCTGCCAGATGGTAATAGTTAAAAAAAAAAAAAGAGTTCCCAGGATGAGATGGATCTTTGAGGATGTTTTGAACTTTCTTAAGGCAGCGTGAGAATCTTTTAAACTTTCTTAAAGCTCTTCCAAAGAGGGGAGAGGGCAACCTATGATCCTCTGGGCAATGTTCACCCTCTGGAGCGCTGTCCTATCTGCCACTGTGCAATTGGCAAACCCTACACACAGGTGCAGTGAGTTAAAATGCTCTCTATGGTGCAGCGGTAGAAGGTCACCAGCAGTTTTCCATTCCATTGTTTCCTGAGAAGTCTCAGGTAGTATAAGTGACTGGGAGGCATAATGAGTATCCAAAACAATGAGGACCAATAATGTAATAATGTAGTGAGTCACCAGGCAGTGTCAGGTTCCACTACTAAAGTCGGATAATAAACCACAAAGAAGCCTTGTTTTTCCCAAAGTGTTTATCTCCGTTGGGTAAGTGTGGCACAAACTGACCAGCATATAATGCAGAAATAGTTAGGGTTACTCGCCTGGTGCTCCCCTTCACCATTTACACATGCACAAAGGCAACCCTGCCTCCACCACACCTGGTGACATGCACCAACGGCCAAATGAGGAAGACGCCCCCCTACACCTGTCCGGGAGTCAGCGCCTCTCAGCTGTTCCAAGTTTGGCGTCATCACTGTCGCCGCGGTTCACACACCCACACCACATCATGGCTCGTCAAGGCAGGCATGGTAGTCCGCCCCACTTAGCAGGCATGGTGCCTTG